CGGGAGTTACTGCTCTTCTTGGGCTTATGAGTCCGGGAATCCACCCACTTCTTTGGCTTCACCTCGGAACTCGGGGAGTCCGGGGACTTTCTCTTCCTTTTCTTCCTTTCCCCCGCAGTAGCCCCGGGCTGTTCTGTTATGGAAGAATCAACATATGGGGACGCATCCTCGCCCTCTTTCAGTTGCCTAAGTTCAGTGGTCTTAGGCAAACCTACAAAGGAAAAATAAAGGGTCAGGGTTATGTACGTTCGGGGCATAATAGTAACCATTCTTAGAAATGCCTTACCATGTGAATGGGCCTCCCATCGCCCCTTCGAAATCTTGCGCCACGAGCGCTCAAAATACGACATCTGCTAGCAGATGCCTTCGATCCACTCCTGGAGCCGAGGGACCACATTGGGAACCCGGTCAATAACTATACGATCACAAATATTGATGGTAAAGAAAGGGAGCAAAGAAAACTCGATGCTTAAGGAAAGAGTACACTTACGAGATACTTTCAACTTCTCGGGGAATGGAAGAAACTCGGGAGGGATCAAATCTTCGGTCTTCACCCGAACGAAGTGCCCTTGCCAGCCTCGGTCTGGATCGTCGTCAATGCTAGAAAAAAAAGAGGCCTTGCTAGCCCAGTGAGTAAGCTTAATTAATCCCCCTCAGAAAATTAAGGGATTATATAGACGAATGAGGTGTTCTATGGTGAACCGATGAGACTTTGTGTTATTCGGAAAGTAACGGAGAAGGATCACAATCCTATAAAAAGACGGGTGGATTTTCCAAAGACATACCAAGTCTCTTACAAAAATCCAAAACAATTAGGTCTATCGGGCCTAGTGTGAAGGGATAAGTGTAAGCACTTAAATATCCCTTCACATGAGTAGTGATATCGTCCTCGGGATCTGGGACTACCACGTCTTTTCCTTCCGAGTTGCAGTCCTCTCAGACAATAGGATGGGTATCTTCGTGATAGAGCATATATACCACGATGCCCCTTCACTTCGGTCTTGTTTGGATGAGGCTTTCTCGACTTTGAAGTCGTCTAAGATCAAGCAGCCCCCGGGGATAAAGCTCTTCATGGGGGGGCTATGGGGCCGATTCGATGGCAGCCACTTTGGGAGCAACCTCCTCGAGAGAAGCCGTTTCAAGAACAACCACTTCAGGAATAACTGCCTCGGTACCTGTGGCCGGGTGAGAAGATGAAGAGGCAGCTTGTTGGGGAACTGATTTGCAAGTTTTAGCCATTATTATTTGAGAAAGTTTGAAAATTTAAAGAAAAAATATGAAGGTCTGAAGGAACAAGTTTGAAGGCTAAAGAGAAGAGTATGAATATTTGAAGGTAGGATAAAGATCTGTGTAAGAACCTAAGAATAATTATGAAGATTTGAAGATCAAAGATAAAGATATGAAGGTTTGAAGGAATTGGTAATAGCTGGAAAGTTCGAAGGTGGAAGCTTGGATCGGAAAGTGGAAAAATAGCAAAGGGTAGAAGCTTTTATAGGGGAAATACGCGACGTTTCGCATTCGGGGGCAACCAACCAATGGTTGACATATGTCCGAAGTCAGAACGACATGACTGATGGGATGTTTCGGCTTCTTTGTCGTTTCGGTTGTAACATACGAAGGAAGGAACCGGGGAACATCTATCGTTTCCCATTATTTCGACGAACCAACTCTCTGAGAAATGAGGGGACTATCTGTATACGGATAAAACCGGGGGTAACCGACACCTCGACTCTCTGGTGGCTCAAACGTAGCCAGGGCATGAATATATAGGGTCAGAATCGAAGCCGGGACGCCTCGTACTAAAGTCCGAATGGAGAGGTCGCCACCGGGCTTGATAAGACATTACTTCTCCGATCCTAGAACGAGCTCCGAGACCTCGAAAAATACGATAACGATTACACACGACCAACAGTGGGTCGCGATATCCGCACTCCATCGGATATCATAGCGCAAATCTCGCCTGTATCGTCAGCGGATTAGTGATTAACGAAAAAGAGGATTTTTTTACCTTTCTTAGAATTGTGCTGGGGTGAAACTCTCCTACTATATAAGGGGGTAGTTTTTATTTAATGAACACATTGTAACACGCATACCAAGGCAATATAATTTTATTTTTACTTTTCTCTAGCTATAGCAAAGTTGTTACTTTACTGTTTGTTATTCATTCTCTTTTGGCTTCAAACCGAGGGTCCGATCGAGGGCAAAACTATTGTCCAAACCCAGTTCAAGCTGGGCCATAGCATTACAACTCGTTTGATTAATCATTTTGTCTTTCATTCGTTTATCTAATATTCTTGATTACTTGTGTTGAATCAATCCACATATCCTTAAAATCGCGTACAAATTCAATTGTTATCCATTTTAAGGGTAAACAACTTCAATTTTGAAAAAAAAAAAGAAGCATCTTTTTTGATTAAAAAAAGTACTTTTAGAGTTAGAGAAGCTTGGCCAAACAAGCTATAAGTCTTCTCGGCTTAATTGAGGCAAACCAGCTAATCAACCGGACTCTGAGCGAGTAATTAAAACGTAATTACACAACATTTGACCTCTTGCAGCTTGACTAATTTAGCTATAGCTGGTCTCAATTTAAATGCTAGTACGATAGTACCCTCTACTAGAAGATAACTTTTAGGCCAATATAAGGTACAATCATATCAAAGTGACGTACAATTAGAGGTAGTTATCTATATATTATATACTTAATTAGAAAAAACCTACTTAGAATATAAAGTAAATAACATTTCTATTTAATTTGCTTCAGTATAGTAGTAGTTTTGTGATATGATACTGCTGGAAGACAAAAAGATGCTTTATCCCAAAGGCTGGGGAATCTTATTGTTTATACTAAACCTAGTAATTATATGAATTTGGTTTGGCTGTTTGGATCGATAGCTACTCACTTCGGAACTACTTTTGACCTAAAATTGTGGTCACCGTCCAAATCAGTAGGAAGGTCCGCTTGGTGTCGAAGTACGCGCCAACCAAAACGCTGGTTCCTATGTTATACTACATACGTATTATTTCAGACATTTGGGGAAAAAAATTCGAACGCTTATTAAAACAATTCCACATCAACTCAAATTAAGTCCAAATGTCCTTTAATTTGATGTTGGTCGGTCGGGATTTTGGGAGGTAAGGGGTGTACAAATCGAACCGAAAAATCGCACCAAAGCGAAAAGTCAAATCAAACCGATTAAAAACCCGACTTGGTTTGATTTGGTTTGGTATTGAGTAAAAAACTCTGAACTAACCCGACATATAAATATATAATTTTTATATATACTATTAAGATTTTATATAGAATTTTCTTTAAAGAAATATCTAAAAATATTTGGGATTCTCTTGCGGAATATAAATTTTAATAGAATATGAAGTGCTCCATATTTATTGACCTTAAATAATGGGTTGTATGATCACTTTCTTATCAAGTGTTACTGAAATGCGTCTATCTCTTTGTTCTTCCATATGCATATCATATGTTAAAATCTATTAAATTTTATATCTTTTTCGAATGTGAAGTGATTATTAATATTTATATATCATATTGATTTTTATGTTTAATTACTAAATTCGGTTTAACCTGAAAGTGTACATCAACGAAAAATTATTGTCAGACGACTAAAAAAATAACTATTATGTGTTACTAATAGAATTCTACCCTAAGAATATTTTAATCGATAATATGCTTGTCAATTTTTTTATATTTTTACTAAATATATATTTACTTATCAAATATTTAACAAAGTAAGATTGAAATAATATTTAAGTAATAAAAAATCCGAAAATTCGAAAAACCCGACAAAACCGAACCAATCCAAACTGATATAGTTATTTTAATTTGGTTTGGTTTTGATAAAAACCGAACCAACCCGGTCCATGTACATTCTAGGGATGTTTATAATTTTGTGAAGAGCCCACTTGGCAGTTGATGCAAACTAAAGGTTGAAGTTGAAGATCACTTTATGCCAAAAAAGTAAAAATGTGAATTGCAAAGAAAGTTTTGGCCTTTAAAAGGAGAAATTAAGAATAAAAATAAAAGGGAAAAATGGTAGATGACATGCAAATGGAGAAAGAAAAAAAAAAGCAATAGTGGATCTCGAAGTAGCATAATATGAAGGGTTTGGAACCTAGCATATACTTCTTTCTTTAATAACCTAGTTACTTATTATTTTCCCCCGCGAGAGCTTGCTAGTTTAATGCAAGGGATTCGGATTCTGTTTTATCTTTGTTGCATTTTTGCGTCGACGACAAAGTGTGAAGAGTATATTTTCTTTTCGTTTTTGTTAACACTTTCTTTAAAGTTTAAACAGTTGAGAAACTAAGACACGTAATTATCTGTTTAGGATTTTAAATATTTAATTTCCTGAGTAAATGTGAAGGGGTTTAATTTCCATGTCTTTCTTCCGTGTCTTTTTACTTTTTCCAACAATTAAGTGGGAGATAAACTAAATCACATATTCTCATTAGTTATCACAATGAGATAATCAGTTACTTTCCGTACAATAATACTAAAAAATGTTCAAGACGATGAACGCATTTAGTGTTCATCTGTATAACTTTGTTAAGTTTTTATCTTGAAAGTTAGAAGATAATTAAAAGAAAAAGGAAAGAACTCCAAGAAATTTGCCATAATATAAAAGTACCAATTTCATACTAGAAGAGTTCCCTAACGTGTTTACACTCACTATTACATGTTGCTAAGTGATCAAACATACTCCCTTATGTGTCTTAACTTTACTACGAAGTTATTTAAGAATATAAAAAAAAACTTTTTATAAGTAATGCTATATTAAAAATATGATAACATATCAAAAATATTCTTTGAATCTTATGTCTTAATTAACATGCTATGTCACTTCTATAAGAGAACACCATTAAAGATAAAATAAAAATAAAAAATTTACTAAATAAATAAAGGTTACATTCCTTTTAAATCAGACTAGAAAAAAGAAAATAAATACAGTATAGTTTACACAAAAGAAAAACATTAGTTAGTGGAATTCCATGACTAGTCAAACAAGAGGAGCCGGTCCCCTTTGTACCTCGTGAGGAAATTGAAAAAAAGGATCCAAACTAGTAGCACACACATAAAAGCCAAAGCACATCACTCCACAATTATGGAAACCATTAACCGTAAACCATGTCATTATGACCCCAGTTCCAGGTGATCTTGATCCAAAAAATAGCCTCTATCCTTATCTTTTGAACATTATATATATCACTTAATATTTTATTGATGGGAACATATGCAAAGCTATTTACTTCTAGATATCTCGAAATTCTCTATGATGTAAATGGAGCTTCTTCTTCCTGGCCGCCGATGAGCTTCATTATAGCCGCACGTATTCTATTCGCATCATTTTTTGCTGTCATGCCCAATTCATGACCCATCTGTTTAAAATTATGAAACAAAATATCAAGAAGAGTTTAAAAAGATTATACTGCAAGTGTATAAAAATTTGATACAGAAAATTATTTACTTTATTTTCCAAATTATCATAGTAAGGCTTACAATAGATGATTATCTGTTGTTGCAGTTTATTTTAACCCTTATAAAAGCTAATTTTTCACTATCAGCTATATACGGCAATTGAATTAATTGATAGCTGAACGAACTATAGGGTTAATTTAGTACCTGAGCAATAATTGTTATGTGGGTGGTGCTGTAGGCAAAAGGGATGACACTGCTGCTAATAATAGAGAGATTGAGCTTCTCTATTTGGCTGTATATTTCCTTTATTATCCCGGTTTGCTTTTTGCAACTAATGCTAATCAGAATATTCCCATTTGAAGCTCTAACTTTAATATCTGGTTGTGATCGGTCTGTGCTAACGCTGGAGACGTTGTCTTCAGAAGATGAGTGGTCAGAAGTACTGGAGGCCAGGCGAGGTCTCTTCACTGCAACCACTGGTTCCTCGTTACATTTCTTGGCTTTCTCCTCGAGGGTTTTTACTTGTTCTTCAAGCTGTTTAATATGTTTGATCGCATCTCCAAGTACTGATGCTTTGTCTAACTGTTGATTCAACAATCACCCAAAATTATAAGTCACTACATACAGGTTTTTCACCACCTAAATTAAAGTAGTGATTCACACAACATGACCCAAACATAAAAAAGAATTTACCTTCTTGAGGTTAGGGATGAGGGTAGATAAAGCTATGAAGCGTTGAGTGAGGCGTTCTCTTCGCTTTCTTTCTTCCATAACGTGGTCTTGTGCCTGCAAACTAGTCCTATTGTAATTCTTCTTGTGAGTAGTAGTATCAGCAGAACCAAATCCCAAGGCCTGGATTAGATTTTGGCTATCACCAAAATCATCACAATCCGTAGAAACTGAAGACGAGAAGTTTAGGGTAGTTCCAGATGTCAACTCAGTCTTGACTGAGGTGTAGTTCAAATTTTCCAAGTGGTTTGTGGCAACAGTAGTATTGGCTGATGGCAAGTTGAATTTGCAGGAAGAAAAGACGCTAGAGGAATTAAGAGGAGGAGGAGAAAAAGAGGTCATTTGGTGAGTTTCAGTAGCATAGCCGCAAAAGGATGACTTCACGTCCAATATTCCAGCAGCAGCATGAGAAGGTTGAATATCGTAGGACGTGCAAGAGGATGAGAAGGGCTTACTGAAAGGCAATTCGTCTAATTGGGTCATCATTTGACAGTGATTGATGAATGCATGATCATCCGTACTCATCGTCTCCTGTATTAATCATTTCAAAGCTATTAATATCAAATTAAAGAGGACTCTTTGAAGCAATATGAGTATTTTTGTAAAACTTAGTACTACTATATACATTAAAGTATGATTTTGTCTTACCATTTCAGCCCACCATTTAGCAGATGAAAAATCCATCTCAGGTTTAGATTTTTCCAATCTACACATGGATTCCAATCACAAAAAGTATTTAGTAACATAGAGATTTGGGTAAACATATACAAAGGGGATCAATCATAGGGTCTCGTAATTGAAAAGCGGCGGAAGCTTACCTTATTTAGAGCAAAAGGCTTTTTCAGTTTCAGCTGGTATCTGTCAGATCAAGTGCAGAAAATTCTTGTGTCTTTATGTGTCTTTATACTTGATTGAATCAAAGAGTTGACTGCAAAAATAGTCAGAAAGAAAACAAAAGAGAAAAAAAACGGTGGAATATCCCTCAATTATTATGTTCTCTCTATATCTCTATGTTGTTAAAGAAATGGACAGAAAAAGGTGGAATATCTCCCCAATTATCATATTCTCTCTATCTTATGTTATTAAAGAAATGGTTTACTTCAAACCAAAAGTTAATTCAAAAGTTGAAAATTATTCAAATCATATATTAATGAGATCATCCATCCTCCTTATCGTGGGACTCTTCAACATCACACTGCACGTCTGTGTAGGGTAAAATATGATATGACACGTGATCGTCTAAAGGGAGGACACGTGGAACCCAAGACGGGGATGACCGAAGACCGAACGCAACCATTCCTGTTGTCACCGGAAAGCATAACGTTCATAAAGGTGTGTTAAATGCTCTGCTCCCGGTAGTATTTAATAGGGAATATTCTACCGGATTAAGAGCAACGGTCCGTTATAGAAAATTTGGCATTTATGTTCACCATTACGTCTTCATCAATGACCCTCATAATGGACATTAAAGGAGGATACGATCCTATGACCTCATTTCCTAGACATAGCTATAAATAGTGAGCTCAGTTATCGTTGTAAGGGATACGAATTTTCTGGCTAAATTGATACTATATTCTATACAAAGCTTAATACAATCTTACTTTCTTGCTTTTTTATCTCATCATTGTTGTGCCCGTAGACCTTATTCCTGGAACTGTCATCTTTGTTGTTTCATCTATATTTCAAGGCTAAGTATTGTACATTTTTTCAATTATTGTATTATTTCAGGATTAAATTAGTTCACTTGTCTAGAAACCACATATAAATTCAATTGTACCATTTTATGAGTAAATAATTTGGCTCCCACCGTGGGGCCTAGACAGTCGTGCAATTAAATTGATCCTTGCCTTTTTTACTAACGCGATTTGATTATTTTGTCTTAGAATTCGAGGGGATCAGTCTCATTTCGAGGATTCAATCAGTGGCACCTGCAATGAGGAGAATGACTCCACGCCGATGCATGACAGGCAGTACCCTTGACAGGTTCGGGATACAACTCCCGATGATGCTGATGAGGAGCACGTCGCGGATGCGGTGAGGGTCCTGCGAGAACAACATGCAATCATTCTAGGCCATCTCACACGGCAGGATCAGGTTATGACAGAACTGAAGCAAGCGCTATTTGGGGCTTCGAATAACGCAAATAGACGAGATCCAATTCCTCCAGTTGTTCCTGCAAACCAAACAACGCAGAGAGTCGGCAATAACACTCCTAGGGGTGAAGCTGGTTCCAACGGGGCTGGGGGAGCAGATCCGGCCTCAACAACGAGAATGACCCGTTCAAGAATAAACTTTTACGGTTTACGAGGAAAGTAAACGACCACATGGACCAAATCCCTGGTGCGCCACCAATATTGAAAGGCCCAGACTCGAAGAAGTATACTCAAGTGTCGTACAAGCCAAGTGCGGCACCAGAACTAATCCCGAAGCAGTTCAAAATGGTTGAAGTGCCAATGTATGATAGGACTTCATACCTACAGGAGTATATTACCACCTACATAATGGCGGTAAAAGGAAATGATCTTAGCTCCTCACGAAATTAAATCTGTGCTGCTAAAGAAATTTGGAGAAACTCTCACGATGGGAGCCCTAACGTGGTATTCATTGTTACCGGAGCATTCCATAGATTCCTTTGAGATGCTCGCAGATTCTTTCATCAAGGCTCATGTCGGTGCCAGAAAAATACATTTTCGAAAGGCCGACATATTCAGGATCTCACAGGGAGAATCTGAATTACTACGAGAGTTCGTTACCCGGTTCCAGAAAGAAAGAATGTTGCTCCCGGCTGTCCCAGACGAATAGGCAGCTGAAGCATTCGCTAAAGGATTGAATCCAAGAAGCTTAGACACGCCCCGAAAGTTGAAGGAGAGCTTGCTTAAGTTTCAAGTAATAACTTGGGCAAATGTCCACGGCCAATACGAGTAAAAGATAAGGATCGAAGATGACTAGGCCGGTTCCATATCACCAGCCAAAGGACGGGAGAAGAGCAGAGAAAAATTAAAGGATGACTACGATGCAGACAGACGGACTTCGAGGGGCCGATTTTTTCCCTACGAGCGGACCGAAGGCCGTGACAGAAACTTTCAGACAACAAACAAGTTCATCATTGACAGGGGGACCAATCGCGGTCGAAATAATAGATCACTACAGGATAAAGAGACGTCGGGGTCTCAGGATCCTTCTTACCCCAAGTTATCGGAATATAACTTCAACATCAGTATAGTGGAGTTGGTGTCAGCCATAAGAAACATTAAAGAATCACGATTCCCGAGACCTATGATATCCGATTCCAACCAGAGGGATCCCACTTATGGTGTGAATACCATGGGACGAACGGCCACCGAACATGGGACTGTCGACACCTTCGGGAGGAGGTGGCAACACTATTGATGAATGGTCACCTCAGAGAATTATTGAGTGACCGAGCTAAGAACAATTATGGTCGTAACAGAGACAACGCGGAACATTCGAAAGTAGGGGAAGAACCGCCACATCAAACGATCAATATGATCTTCGGGGGGAATGAGATTAACGGGGTCACCTTTTCGGCAGCGAAGAAGACGAAAGTATCAATAACTCATAGTAAAAGACTCTGGGAAGACGATATCACTTTCACGGAGGAGGACGCAAACGGATTGCTATTACCACACAACGACACACTAATAATTTCTTTAAATATGTTAGATTTTAAGATTAAACGTGTTCTAGTGGATCCAAGAAGTTTGGCCAATATCATATTATGGAGAGTATTGGAGCAAGCTAAACTGACCAAAATCATTATTCCGGCAACAAAGCTCCTTGGTGGATTCAACCTTGCGAACGTAACGACCCGGGAGAGATTTTGATGCGAACGAACGCTGAAGGAGTAATGAACATAACTCTCTTCGAAGTAGTAGATGGTGACATGGGATACAACATCATCCTGGGAAGGCCATGGTTACACGAGATGAAAGTTGTACCCTCAACATATGACCAGTTGCTGAAGTTTCCAACGCCCGAAGGAAATAAGCAAATAAGAGATGATCAACCGACAGCAAAGGAGATGAATACAATCTCAGTTTCCAGTAGAAAAAGGAAGGAATGCACGGCATAGCAATTAAAGGAACTGGCACCTACTCCTGAGCTAGAAGGAGATAGCTCGAAAGCAGAGTCATTAGAATAATATCAGTTGCCGAGATATTTCCAAGTTTCAGAAGAAACGGACGCAATAAAGTCCAAGGTGAATGAACTGGAGCAAGTTGCATTGTTCGAGGAATTCCTAGAATGAAAGTTCCATTTGGGGACATGACTGCACCCGGAGCTCAAGTCTGGTTTTATTGAATTCCTTAAATTTAATGCTGATTGTTTTGCATGGCCGCATGAGGATATGACAGGTATCCCGATGAAAATAGCCGTGCACAAGATGAGTTTGGATCCCAACGTACCTCCGGTAAGATAGAATAAAGGCCCTATTGCTGAGGCCAGGAAAATATTCGTCAAAGAAGATGTAACCCACTTGCTTAAAATAGGTTCGGTCTGAGAGGTAAGATATCTGGATTGGCTAGCTAATGTAGTAGTAGTTCCTAAGAAGAACAATAAATTTCGCATGTGTGTATACTATAAAGACCTTAATAAGGCGTGCCCGAAATACTCGTTCCCGCTGCCAAATATCGATTAAATGATTGATGCCATGGCCGGGCACGAGTTGATGAGTTTCCTCGATGATTATTCCGGGTACAACCAAATCAAGATGAACCCGGAAAATCAGGAAAAAACTTCGTTTATAATGAATTTTGGTACATATTATTACAATGTAATGCCCTTCGAGTTGAAAACCCAGAGCCACTTATCAACGGCTCGTAAATAAGATGTTCAAAAAGCAAATAGGAAAAACTATGAAAGTTTATATAGACGATATGCTCGTTAAGTCTTTGAATGCAGGTATCCATCTTAAGCATTTGTAAGAAAAATTCGACATCCTGAGGAAGCATAACATGAAACTTAATCCCGAGAAGTGCGCGTTCAGGGTCAGTTCTGGTAAGTTTCTGGGGTTTCTGGTCTCACAAAGGGGAATAGGGGTAAACCCCGACAAAGTCAATGCCATAGAGGATATCCCGGATCAATTGTCGAACGTAAAGGAAGCCCAAAGGCTCACAGGAAGATTAGCAGCTTTGAGCAGATTCATTTCCTGGTCATCAAAAAAATGTCATCGCTTCTACACACTGCTCAAAGGGAAGAATGATTTCGAATGGTTTTTCAAACTTTCTAGAATTTCCTTCATGCGCGCTGCATGGGGCGACGCGGGGCGCAACGCGGTAGCCCAAAAATGTTAGAGTGACTTCCCATTTCTGCTAAAAAAGGGTAGTTTCGTCCGGGGTTTATTTTGGGGGCGGCTTAAACACACCAAAACACAATTTTAGATGACGTTTGACACAATTTCGACCTAAGGAGGCTAAGGAGGAGTTGGAAGAACACAAGCACAAGGATTTCATCATTCCTTCCTCACTCAAGATCCAGGTTTGGATTGAATTTATGTTTTCCTATACTTTAGTTACATTTGTGAAGAAATTCTCCATGTCTATGGAGTAGATCCTTTTGGGTTTTGATGTATTTGGTATATTGATGATTGTTTGTGGATTATAACTCTATTTTTATGTATTTGAATCATTTTTGGAAGATTTAATAGTTGCATCTATATTCACTTGTTCTTGTAATCGAAAGAGGCATAATTTGTGATATCTTTGCATTATATTATTGGTTGAGTTCATAGATTCTTCTAAGTAATCAAAAGAGGCTAATTGAATTATTGATTAAATCTAGTTAGGAGAATAATCAAAAGAAGTTTTTCTAAAGACCGATCCACTACGCATTCTTGTATATCTTCACAATGCTTAAATTGGTTCATCTCGTGAGGTTATGACTTAATCGAGA